TGACATTTGAATATGCATTTGTGCATAGACCATAGGAAGGACTAGACTGGATTAGATGAACAAAGGCCCATTTATGTCCTTATCATTCACACAGTGGTCAATCAAGTTGTAGGAAATCCATAAGCAGGACACAAGTGCAACAGTACTCTCTAGTTTCTATTCCCCAACAACTGTGGTATATAGGCATACTATCTCGGATACTGGAGTTAGGACATAGCCATTATAACTAGTAGCCACTGATAACTTTACACTTCATAAATATATACATTCGCCCTTTAAAGCCATCCAAATTGGTGGCCTTCATTGTACCTTGAGGTAGCAAATTTCATCAAGGAACCATGTGCTTTGTGAACAAGTATTTGCCTTTATCTGTCCTGGATCTTCCACCAATTAAGTTAACAGGACAGCGTCAGGTTTTAGTATTATGAGAGAAGAGAAAAATGTCTCCTATCCACTCTTCTGAGACCATACATAATATAGCTGATTTTGCACATATCAAATGCTAAATCTGCAATTGTTTATAGTTCTATTTATATGTAGTAAACTGAAAAGACTTATCCAATTTCATTAGGTGGATTCCTTGCCACCTGTTCAATTCTAGTAAATGTGAGACATAGGTTAGTAATAGGCCCTGCTATTGCTCTGGCTTGCCTATCAGTTTGAAAGAAACATGCAAAAATATCTTAATGACTCTTTGCTAAAGATTGCTAAAGGTTTCCTCAATTACCAACATCTATGAAGTCAAGTGTAAAAGAATTTGTCTCCAACACTAAGACTGAAATGTAAGCCAAACAACCGAATACAGATCTCAGTTTTATTAGCCACACTTGTTCAAATTTGCTAAAAGCTTATTGCACTTCACTCTGCTTGGCACAGAGTTGCAATTTAGGTTTGGGAACAAAAGCTTCGTGGAATGATGCAATCTGAGAAACAGGACCTCTGCGTACCAGGTTACCATTATACTCTGTCAGAGCGGCTCTTACCCTCCCACCTACACCACTACAGCTGCATGCAACTTAATGATGGATTCAGCCTTTCAGTCTGGAAGAAAGCTATTTATATCCTCATTGAGCCAGTCTCTTACACTATTATTGTGTTCCCATCCTCAAGAGGCATTATTCAGGCAGCATGACATGAAGAGATGCTTCATAATCCAGAAGAACACTTTCTAATAAATAGGTCATTGTGTCCAAACATAAAGAAAACTTCCTGTTTCTAATTAAGAAAACTGAAACTTTATATTTTCCTTTCTTCTTATGACTTAATATTTTTAAAATGAAGGTAAACCAGGCTATAAAATAGAAGAGGAAGTTTAATGGAAGTAATCTAGTTCCTTCAAATTGAAATGTTGCCATTTTTATTTATTTATTTTTGGTAACAAGGTTTTTAGAGCAATCGTAGCTAGTAACTGTTCCCTTAAATGAAAAGTATATTCTGATTATGGGGGATCATATTCTAAATAAAAAGAGGATAGATATAAAGCACAACATGCATCTGTCACATCTGAGTTAGATAGACTCTGGGTTGGGGGCATTGCATCTCCACTCAATCTGCCATGCCCAGGGGCTGAACCACAAATGCAATAGGAAGTTGGCCTTGCCACAGCAGTTATAAGCTAGTTCCAAAATGGGACAAGTAAACAAGGCTGCCTTTTGTGCACTCTGTTGACCTGTCTGATTCCAGAAACTAGTGTTGTGGGTTTTGTAGGGCACAGTTCTTTGCGCTTGCCTGTAACCCTCTGAACTTGGAGGGTTACAGGCATCTTTTGCAAGATAGGAAGAACACAGGTGAAGGTTTCCTCCATGTGTCTCCCACTCTGCAAAACAGCCAGGCAGCCAGTTTCAGATGGTGGTTTGGAGCAGAAGATGCATAGTTAAGCACTACCAGGATATCTCAACCAGGCAGTGCTAGTCTCTTTTTCCTACTCCCTACACAGAATGGTCACTAACCCCCTTCTTTGAGGTTGGTTTTGTTACCTTGGAGAAGCTCCCACTTCTCTGCTGCACTGGATGTGAGGGGGAAAGTGAACCTCAAGCATGGGGTCCGCATCTGCTGTTGGAGTTTTTGTCTGATGCTGAAGCTGGGACACAAAAAATCCTATGGCTCTCTAGACATTGTCTAGAGAGCCACAGAATTGTTCTACTTGGAAATCTAAGTTTATGAAACACTACTTTTCCTTTGAACAAAGGGTAGGTCCCACTAGCACACAGGTAGCATTAGATATTGCCACTGCACTGGTGCAGAAATATGTGGTATTTATTTTGGTTTAAAAATCTGCCATATCACACAAACGTTAAACAACTTCTTCCTTATTTAGAATTTTTGCAACATACAGTGTTCTGTGCAACTAGCCACTGGACAATGCATACGAAGGATCATTTGTAGAACTCCCACACTTTGAGGAAGGCTAAGACCTTCTACCCAACAAAACAAACACTTTGTGTCAGCTATGTGAGTTAAGCATCAGTACATGCTTAACTCATGAATTACCATATAAATTGTTAACAAAAACTGATTATTTAAAGATTCCTAATGTTTACCTTCTTGTAATACTGCAGAGGCAACCAGTCATTTCACAACAGGAGAACTGATGCATGATGAAACAAAAATACCCCAATGAATTTGGTAAGAGCCTGGTTCCTGAGCTGCTCTGTGGTTATGTTGAAAGTCTCTGAGCAATTATTGGTTCACAATAATATAGTGCGGCCTCTGCAGAAATTATGTATTCTATGCTTCCCACCAAAATCTAATGCTTAATGTGCCCTTTGAGTCTCACTGATTTATATGAAGTTCACAGACATATTTCACTTGATTTATATAACATATTTTTAACCTGGTCTGAGTATTTCAATTGGAATTGCCAGTCTCTCAGATCCAAACAGATATGTTGTAGTGAAAAGCGAAGCCCTTATAAGTAGAGTAACTCTAGGAAGATGCAAGACTCATGTTCATTTGAACTACTTCAGATTTTACAAGAGGAAACAGGAAATGTAACTGCTTCACACACTCTGTTCTCTATCTGCTAAGAGACAGTGAACTCCTATGCGTGTCTATTCATAAGTCCCACTGAATTCAAAGAGACTTGCTCTCCGATAGATCTGTATACGATTGCAGTCTAGCAGAACGATAAGCAAAATTTCTATCTACCAGAAGCATACGTATTTCCTCAGTGGAGATAGACAGATGTAATTTGCACAAGAGATGCAGAGGAACAGGAAGTGGGAAGCAGTTGCTTGTCCTGTTCCTGCTGTACTTTTGCAACATTCAAAGCCAAATTTTACCAGCAGCCTCTTCCTCATATTACAGCACTACGCTGTAGCACTGACATGTCTGTGAAGGACCCCCTCCGTGTCAGTACTGGAACATCTATGTGTTGTAGAGGATCCTGGAAAATCTCTGGTGTTCATAGAAGGCTCAGACCAGGCCCATTTGGGTTCACTATTGCTGTATGTGGAGTACAATTCCATCACCGAGGATTCTGAACTCTCCCCTGTGGATCTGCATATCAGAAAAGGATTTGCAATGGGCAAAATACTTTTCTTAGAAGCTTGTCTACAAATACTTCTCAGTGAGGAGTTTCTCATAAACTTATGAGGATCCCTAGCATACCTGAAAAATAGTTTGGTTCTGCATTCATACTTGATGAAAGCCATTAACATTAAAAAAGAAAGAAAGCACCTGTTGAACAATGTTCTGCTTAAATCCAAATCTTGTTGGGAAAAAAACAGTGGCTAATTGAGTACAAATTTCTTAGAAGATGTCATTTTGATATCATGGAACCCCTTCAACATTTGCTCCCACACACATTTCATGAACACACTCCCAGATAGTGTCAACAGGGCTTCCTCAATCATAGCCTGCTATGGCTAAATGGTTAGGAGAAGCCCTGGAACTACAACTATTCAAAATTCCTGGCCTGCAGGCAACCCTTTTGACAGGGAAATTGACAAACAGAAAGAGTGCCAAAATAATCCCAACAACTAGTCCACCTTAAAAGTCCAGCAGGATAGATGTGTGCATGAGGAATTCAGAGACTACAGCCCTTTACCTCTATAACAGTATTCAACTCCTGTTGCAGAACCAAGAATTCCACACAAATCGTTTTTGTAACAGTATACACAGTAGGTTGTACTGGTGCCTGAAATAAGGCAGAGGTGCAAAATGTATGGCCTGCAGGCCACATGCAACCTACCAAGCTACTTCTGGTGGCACAGTGGACCCTCCTGTAGCTGTCATGGCAGCACTTCCTGGGATTTCCCTTGCTAGTGTTTGGAAGAGAAACATTTCCTTATTGCCAGCAAGAGAAATCGCACAGATTCCTTTGCTAACACTGGCAAGGGGATCCCCAGGCTTACATGTGTTTTTGTGCATACTTGAGAATGGATCTTTGGCTTCCTGGCATTTTCTCTTGTGGCCTTTGGGGCCAAGCAAACTATGCACTTCTGGCATTAAGGAAGCAAGTATTCTGGAAAGAAGAGGAGAAGTGAGACACTTGGAAAAGGAAGAAAGTGCAGTACAACAGCAAGCTCACACAAGGCAACACAGTGAGTTTCCAGTAAGAAAAAGCAATGTAATGGGGAAATGGACAGTTGGCTTTGATTGCTACATAGATCTTCAACCAGGGAGAGGTGTGGTGGTAGAGTTGCACCCTGCTGAGAGTCCCCCAGAGTGAAGACATCTGCTAGACATCAACAGAACAGAAACATTGCTGACACAGAGACAGTTTTAATTGAATAGTTTCAGCATTGCAGTGAGTTCTGATAGCATCAAAGCAACAGAGGTTGCCATGGTTTATTCTCACAGGATTCCTGTGCCTCTGTAACAAAACAGACAGCAGTCTAACAGGTGCCATTCTTTCCAGTCCTGTAACCTCCAGGCTGGATATGGCCACTTCTGTTAAATTTCCACCTGTCAGGTACTTTCAAGAGGCACAGAAGCCCAGGGAGGAAAGAGACAGCAACTGCACACAAGGTTTCCCACTAGTATTTGCTGCTATAGACCTTGCTTGTGCTCTGCATGGCACTGGTGGTGGTAGGAAGCATCCTTTCCTTTAAGAGGGTTCAATGGCTACCTGGTTGCCTGTGGAGAGACAAGACAGATATGGATGTAGTAATGAATAATGAGTAGCAATTACAACATTTAAGACTTATGAGCGGGTACACTTCTGGGATTGGCAAATGCATGTTCAAGAAAGAGTTCATCCCCCTATGTTCTCATACCCCAACCCCATTTTCCTATTGCGAGTCTTTCTGATTTCAACATTGGAAATTTATCTGCTGTGAATAGACATTGTAGTAACTGAGGCAGCACTTACCCATCCAATGTAAGGAGAATGGCAATTATATTTTGTCTCCGGGGACTGCTTGCTTCAACTGTTCCATGTGTCCTGGCTCTGATCCTGCAAGGAAGAATGAGTCAAGTGTTTGGCCACAAGTTCCAGTAGAAAGAGCAGAGTGCTTGATATTCACCAACAATAACAACTGTGTTCCCCACAGCCTTCTCAATACATGGCAGGGGCTTCCTGGGTTGTCGCTAACAGTCCACCCCACTGTCTGCACAATGCATGCATGCCCACAATTCCTCTTGAGTACCGGAGGGTTGTTAAGCCACCACAAGGTAAAGGGGCAAGAGGAGGCACTCTGTGACTATGTGAATCAGAGTGCTCTGCACACCTTTGAGTATGTGGGGGGAGGGGTTGTGAAGAGATGGAAGATGTTCAGGACTCATAAAGCGTGGGTTCTTACTTTCTGTTGAGACTCTTTGCTTACCTGCATGAGATTTCTTGTCCATGCAACACCAAATGCAGCTGAAGTGAGGTTCCTGGTGGGCATTTGTGTCTGGAATCCTGCAACATTGTACCTGTGAGTTTTCTATAAAGACAAGTATTATAATCTGCATTTTCTATTTCAGTCTTGGATGAAATAGTGTGCCTTTTTTGCAGAATGATCCCTTTCACTGTAGTTCCCCATCACCAAAATTCCCACTCTTACACTTCTGGTTCTGCAGATATTTATTTATTTGAAACATTTCTATACCATCTAATATTTCAATGAAATCTTGAGATGGTTTACAAAAACAATATTGAAAACAATGCAACAGCACTTCAATAAAAGAGCAGTACACAGTATACATAATACATAATAAAACCATTCAGACAGTAAAACAATAAATGGTTTTAGCCTGGTGCCAAAAAGAATAAAGAGTTGCTATCACTAAGAAGCTCTGATATGAGGACAGAATGAGGTAGCCCCACATCACATGTCTTGATATGAGCTCTGTGTTCTTTTGTTGTGGCATATATTGGTCTGAATCCTATCCTCCATTGACTGCAGGGCAGAGAAGGAAGAAGTGCAGGAGAGCCATTGTCTGGTTGTCTGCAGCTTTCACTAGAAGTATGTTTTACTTAAACTTTTGTTAGTGAAATGTGATGTTGTTGCCACAGCCGGGACCAACCCGCCCTAAGCAAATACAGGATATGAACTACGTCCCTATCCTTCCAGACCATGCTCCATCTAATGACCATTTTTTCCTTTTTACAGGCACTGTCCTACTAGCATAGGAATTAGTATCCCGACAGCATGATTATCCCATAACGGCCAACATAAATTCGTTACATCAGGTAGTGTCTTCCTCCATTGGTGCAGCAGAATTGAATACTAATCATAACCCTACCAAACAAGGATGTGTCAGAGACAGTATCACGGCTTTGGAACAGACCTGCAATAAGTAATAGATTGCCTTTTCTTTACATTCATGACACGTGATATGCTGTAAGGACCAATTTGCCAATTTGCACATGGCCGGGGCTGGTGATCTGTGTGGGAGGAGCCAGCACTGAGCCTCAGGCTTACATAAACAAAATCTCTCTCTCTCTCTCATACACACACACACCATGATTGAAACCACTTTACATTGTTTTGCATAGGTTCTGGTCTCCATAACATGATGTATGTGCAGTGGTGTAGAAACATGAGTCTTTATCTTATGCCTTGCCTACCAATAGCTATAACAATATATAATTTTTGCAGAAGAATATACTAAGTGAAATTAATTTCTTTGTAGAAGCTAGAATGTACACTGATCAGGGTGCCATTAAAACTGGCTGTGTTTTTTAAAGAGCTACAGATGTTCTTTGTCATCTGTCAATTGAGAAAGACTCCTGTTATGCTTGCTGTGTCAGTATAGACTGGACATGGAATTGCTTTGTCATGTCCCATGTGTGTCTGTGCACATTTGCCCACAAAGTTTTACATTTCTCTGCATCATCAACAGATCATAATAATTTATAAGCATAACCAGTACCCTAATTTTTTTCAGGACCTTTGTGGCAATTACATATATAACCTGTTTTTCAGAAATACTGACAGGGAGGGAGGGAGGGAGGGAGGGAGGGGACGGACGGACGGACGGACGGACGGAAGGAAGGAAGAACCTAATTCTCTCATTCTGAACCCAGAAGTGCACACATCATCTTTTTATATACTGTAAATCCCAAAGATGCTCCAAAGGAATAAACAGGAACTGTAGAGTTCCAATAACTGGCAGACTGGGCCTTATGTCAAAACTTTCATTATAAAACAGTGGGAAAGTTGTTATGGGTATGAAGAAAATGATACTTGCACAGAATATACTGGGTGTTTTGCTGTTTTCCCATGAAAAGAAAAAAATACAGCACTTAGGAAAATAAAAGTAGACCATTTTAACATGCAGTCCTAAACGACTGAGACATTATCTGAACAGCACCATACCAGAAGTATGTGCTTCATGGGTTCCAAAGCCTTTGGAATGTGGAGGATTAAATATTTCAGGATAGTCAAATCAACTGCCACTTAACAAGGAACAATATTTTATAGTTCTAAGGGTACACTGAACAGCTTTGAGTAGCACTAACACTGGATACTACCCAAGTTGTCTAAGGCACAAATATCCAGTAAGAAATACACAACCACTCTGGCAATTCATATTTTAATTGTTTTATTGATTGATTGATTTATTATCCACTGAATGAGCCCAAAGACCCTCGGAGCAAAGTAGCCAGCCATTTAATAATAAATTTAAAAATAGATACAGTTTAAATGTATAGTTTTGACAAGTCATATCATTCAAATGATGCTTCATTTAAAGCTTTCCATGTTAAGGTTCAGTGTATGTTAAGTAGTTAGTCAATAAACAGAAAACTGGCATTAAATAAAACCTGATTGATACTAACTACTGCCTTCTCAGAGGGAGAGTTGGCTAACTGAAACAATTTGCTTACCACATGTTCCAATATTGAAATATCCTCTATTCTTACACCAACAAGATTCTGATAAGCCTTCGTTAGTAAGAGCCTCCTCTGTTTATACAAACTTCCACCTATATCCCTGGTTCCTTTCAAGCAGCAGGTCCCGTAATTCTAACTTCCTACAGATGAACGAGTTGCTAGATTAGCCAACTGTACCTTTAGCCACCCTTTAATTTAGTCTCATTTCCTATCCTTCCCCTTTTCTAACTTGCTTCTCCTAAATACAGCTTATTCTTAGAAAGGAATGGGATGTACCCTTTCAGGAAAAACCAGTTGTCAGACACAGTATATTCTGCACTCTCTTGCAATTGGGGTATTTCCAGACAAGGCTTTTATTGCGCAATCATACAGCCTTTTGTCTAGAATTTTATGGGGAATGAGGGGCTTCCAGATAGTGCTATCTTTAATGTGTGGCCTACCCTTGTTCTCCTACTGCATCTTCTGTCTTTTTCCTTACCATAAAGGATACCCATTAAAGAAGTAAAGTTGAAACAGCTGCAGAATGCTATTTGTGCCACATAAGCACTCTAATTGGAAACATTATTTGTCTTCATTTCTTAACCTAAACAAGAAACATTGTTCTACAAATTGTCATATTCACAATTTTAAATTCATCACATGGGTAGAGTTTGATTCATTTGTGTTGTCTCATTTGTATGCCATCACATCCAAGCAGGGCATGGTAATGCATATACAAATTTATTCTGTTTTGCCTTCACAATAAGTCTGTGAGATGTAAGCCCAGACTTATTCATCCTACAGTACTTCAGGTATGTTGGACTGCACTTCCCATCATTCTGGAATGATGGTTGGAAATGATGGGAGTTGTAATATGAAATACCTGGAGCACAACAGGTTGGGGATGGCTGCATTAGGAGAAACCATGATGAACTATTTGACTTGTACCCCAGCTTTTTACCTTAAATGGCAGTTGCATTGTCCAGAAAAAAAAATTAAAACAACATTAAAAATAAATGCATTATATTCAACAAAATGCAACAATAACAGCAAAAACTGCTTCCAACCCAACAGAACCACTTACAAAGCAAAGTGTTTTTTGAGTACAGTGGTCTTTGCCAGCCTGCAGAAGGACAATGGAAAGGAAGCAAACCTAGCTTTCCTTGGGGTGAAGCTCCACAGTTCAGGAAAACCACCAAAAAGGCCTCTGTTCTAGAGCCAGTTCCCACAAGTATGCCCACCACACTCTTCACATGGGCACATACCCATTCGTTCACATACCTAGTCTCTCACTTGTGTACACACACACACACAGGGCTGGAAAGGGGTCTGCACTGCATAGCACAGAAATGTTGCAATGTGGATGGGGGGGATGTGCAGTCTCCTCGTCTGTCTCGGATCACTGGGGTTCTGTGCTGCATAGTCGGGGGGGGGGGGCAGCTCCTTCCTCCCCGTGCTGCACAGCGGTCCAGAGATCTGCACGCAGAGAAAGACACTGCTGGACAACTCCAACTGATACGATTTTAAACAAAGGATAATAGAACCGAATTCATGCCCATAGAAAGATACTGTGAATTAGGTCCAGAAGTGAAAAACAGGTGCAACATATTGAAATGCTTCACTTTAAATTCTGGTAAATAATCATCGATTTCTGCAATCCAGCGACGACAGCATTTTATATCCAGAAAAGGACTGCAGTACACAGAACATGTTAATACCTCCCATTATTATACAGTACAGCTTTTGGAATGATTAAAGTGAGGCGTTTGCTATTTCATTTAATTAATTAATTTCTCTGCCATCTAACAGTCGAAGCTTTCTGAACAACAGAAGTTGCTCCACTGCCTCTGGATTTGCTTTGTTTATTTTCCCACAAAGGAAACAGTGCTTCTGGTTTAAGAATTCCCTTGCAATACTGACCTTTTAAACATTCAATTTTATTAACTTTCCAAATGTCAATTAAAGGAACAAAATTCTGACTATAGCAAAGTTCCATTGATGGAAGCTCGGCAGAAACTTCGTCAAGATTGTTATGCAACTGTATTTGCCATGGATCACGTGCAAGAGCTGTTCAAAGTGGAAGAAGCAGATATGCTCTTGCAAACATCCCATGTATCAACAGAGAACCTGAACTTAACCAACAGAAAAAGAGAGGCCTGGATTAAATCAAGGGTGCAGGACCTTAGGACCATCGGGAAATTTGCCAGGTGGCCACACCAGCTTCCCCCGCCCCCTTTCTCACAACCACCTGACAATTTTCTGTTTCCTGGACTATGTGTAGTTTCTTCCCCTTTCTAGAAGCTTGGTTTGCCCTTTCTGATGTTTCGTTACTGGCTGTAACAACCATGCTGTTACAGCATGCTGACTTTTGGTTTCTGCCTCTTCCACATTTGGCACTCAACTTCACCCTCTACTGGAAAGCAGCCACCAAAACCGTCTTCAGAACTAAATTTAATTCTCAGGCTGAAAAGGGTTCAACACTCCTGCCTTAAGGGCATGACCTATCCATGCCACCCATGTGTGCTAAGGGAAACACCAACGGATCACAGGTGTGATTGTGGTAAATACAACTGTTATAGAAAAGTGCTGGGCCCAACTAATGATCTAGTCCAGGAAGCATCCAAGGGC